CTGTTGGAGTGGATTCGTACAATTGTGGCCAACCGTGTAGGTGAGAATGGAAGGAGCTGGACAGATGTGTTCTCCATGCATAATAGTGGCACTTACAACAACCAGTGGATGGTAGTCGACTATAACCTCTTCAAACCTGGAAAGCATATCACGTAAATAAATTATAGAATTGAAATATTTTTGAATTTTAATACTGTATTGGGTTTTCAATATAAAGTATTATGTATTGAGTTTAGTGACATTTAATTAAAGAATGGCACACTTGCAGGAATCTTTTGCAGATCTGCAGTGTTAAAATGCATATAAAATATAATATAAAATGCATATAAATATATATAATATATTGCATATAAAATGTGATCAATTCCTGGGACATTCCTTCAGTTACCAGAAATGTCTCTGGCTAGATTACACATTGGCCACACAAGAGTAAAAGAGGCAGCATGCTCGCCAGCAATTTTGGCAAGGTTGACTCTGCCAAGGTTAGGTAAACTGGGCACTGATTTTTAACTGTTCAACAAGCAGTAATTAGGTATTTTGTTGTAAATCAATTGGTACCTGGATGGGTTCTGATAGTTTTTCTACTCCCCAAGCCTTGTCCAGGGACAGGCTTGACTCGAGAGCTTGGTTCAACAGGCTGTTGCTTGGAGCGGCCTGCAGGCCCAAATATCCACCACTGCCCGGTTAGTCCGGCGCTTTTTGAAGAAAACTATCTAGATTTCTCTTGAAGACGTCCACGTTTGTTCCGGCTGGCAGGTTGTGAGCCAGGATAAACCTAGTAAGGCATGGGAAGGCTCTAAATCTGCTAACAGGAGTTAGAAGTAGTCCATGCATTTACTTTTAAATAAAATTTTTCTCTCCTGAGAATTTACCTGAGGGCCACTATCTCTCTAGTGGCCTCAACGAGAACAAGAAGTGGGCAGTTCATTAAAGGTCCACCAATTTGCCCTGATGATTTTATCGAGCTGGATTTTAAAATTCAGTGGCGTTTTGGCATTTACGGCTTCGGTGAGTTGGCGGTTCTATGGGCTTATAACCCTAAGCTTGAAAAAAGCATCTGTTTTCTGACGTACATTGATGCTTGTTGAGCTTTAAACCATTGTTCCATGTTTGTGTTACATATAAGCTTTTAATCAAGTTTTCTGTATCAATATCCTTCAAATTGTTCAGTATTTTAAGTTTTGATGAGATCAGCCCTGTCATGTCAAGTTTTCAGCATTGTTAGCCCTGTGGCCCGCAAGCATTCCTGGTTTGAAAGTCAACTTACCTAATTCTGGAATGATTTTTGTCACTGGTGTTGAATTTTCTCCAAAACAGATGTCTTACTGAAAATGAGGTCTCCATTCTTGGATGCAATAATCCAAGTGGGGCGCACCAGAGCCTTAGGGTCCTGGTAGTACAGTTGGGTTTGTTCTTTGCGCACAATCGAAAATTCTGAGTTCGAATCCTGGTCGGGACAGAAATGTTTGGCCACATTTCTTTTCACCTAATGGAACTGTTCTAATGATAATTAGGTACTCAGGAGTTAAGTCAGCTTGTTGTGGGGATGCATCCTGGGCGGGGTCAGTAATTCAACCTTGGGGAACCTAGATATGCCTGGTTAATACCTGGTTGATAGGGTTCTGGGAGTTCTACTCGCCAAGCCCGGCCTGAGGCCAGGCTTGACCTACGTGAGTTTGGTCCACCAGGCTGTTGCTTGCAGCGGCCCACAGGCCCACATATCCACCACAGCCTGGTTGGTCCGACACCCCTTAGAGAAAATGATCTAGTTTTCTCTGGAAGATGTCCACAGTTGTTCCGGCAATATTTCTTATGCTCGCTGGGAGGATGTTGAACAACCGTGGTCCTCTGATGTTTATAATGTTCTCTGATTGTGCCTATGGCACCCCTGCTCTTCACTGCTTCTATTCTGCATTTTCTTCCATGTCGTTCACTCTAGTATGTTGTTATTTTACTGTGTAGATTTGGTACTTGGCCCTCCAGTATCTTCCACGTGTATATTATTTGATATCTCTCTCATCTTCTTTCCAGTGAGTACATTTGGAGAGCTTTGAGACAATCCCAATAATTTAGGTGCTTTATTGCATCTATATATGCCGTATATGTTCTCTGTATTCCCTCTATTTCAGCAATCTCTCCTGCTCTGAAGAGTGAAGTGAGTACTGAGCAGTACTCAAGACGGGACAGTACAAGTGATTTGTATAGTACAACCATTGTGATGGGATCCCTGGATTTGGAAGTTCTCGTAATCCATCCGATCATTTTTCTGGCTGACGCAATATTTGCTTGGTTATGCTCCCTAAACTTTAGGTCGTCAGACATCATTATTCCCAAATCCTTTACATGCTGCTTTCCTACTATGGGCACATTTAATTGTGTTTTGTACCCTGTATTATGTTTAAGGTCCTCATTTTTACTGTACCTTAGTACCTGGAATTTATCACTGTTAAACATGTTATTTTCTGTTGCCCAGTCGAAAACTTTATTAATATCCGCTTGAAGTTTTTCAATGTCTTCGGCCGAGGTAATTTTCATGCTGTTTTTTGTGTCATCTGCAAAGGATGAAACGAAGCTGTGACTTGTATTTTTGTCTATGTCTGATATGAGAATAAGGAAAAGCAATGGTGCAAGGACTGTACCCTGAGGTACAGAGCTTTTAACTGTGCTTGGACTCGATTTTATATGATTGACTGTTACTCATCGTGTCTTGTTTGACAGAAAACTAAGTATCCAGCGTCCTACTTTACCGGTTATTCCCATTGACCTCATTTTGTGTGATATCACTCCATGGTCACATTTATCGAAAGTCTTTGCGAAGTCCGTGTACCACATCAGCATTCTGTTTTTCTTCTAATGACTCAGTGACTTTGTCGTAGTGATCAAGTAGCTGTGAGAGGCATGATCTTCCTGCTCTAAATCCATGTTGGCCTGGATTGGTTTCCATGAATCTAATACTTTTATTATGTGGGACGTTAGTGCAACTGGTCTATAATTCTTTGCCAATGTTTTGCTCCCTCCCTCCCTTGTGTAGAGGGGCTATGTCTGCTACTTTAAGTACATCTGATATCTCCCTTATGTCCAAGCTCTTCCTCCACACTATACTGAGTGCCTGTGCTACCGGTACCTTGAATTTCTTTATAAATATTGAATTCCATGAATCTGGACCCAGAGCTGAATGCATGGGCATGTTTTTCAATTTCTCTTTCAAAATCTAGTATGCTTGTGTTGATATCAGTTATATTTACAGGGGTTTGGATATCACACAAAGAAATTGTCTGCATCTTCCACTCTCATGTTTATTGGAGTGCTAAACATGTCCTCATACTGCTTTTTTAGGATTTCACCAATTTCTTTGTCATCCTCCATGTCTGCCTTTCTTCAGTCTGATATGAGTGTTTCAATTTCCACTGGATTTCTTCAATCTCCCTATTTAAATTATTCCTTCTTTGACGGGAAAGTCTTGTCTGTTTAAGCATTTCCGTTATTTTTTTCCTTCTTTTATAGTGTCGTCTGCATTCTCTTTCTACGTTGGACCTTTTTCTGGCTTTCTTCAAAGGAACATGTTTCAAACAGACTTGATATGCTTCCAAAGTCAGTTTTTCAATTCCTTCTGTAGGACTTGTATTACTTAGAACAGTTTACCATGGAATGTTTGTAAGTTTCATGTTTATTTTCTACCAGTCTATCCTTTTATTAATAAAATTGAATTTGCTGAACTTTACCTCTCGTTTGATCAACGTTTTAGGTCTGTTCTGAGTATTAATGGTAGTTTGCACTTCATTGAGCTTGTGATCAGAGTATGCGGTATCTGATATCGTAATGTCCCTGATTATGTCTTCATTGTTTGTAAAGACCAGATCTAGAATATTTTCATTTCTCATTGGCTCTGATATCTGCTGGTTGAGTGAAAATTTGTCACAGAATCTAAGCAGTTCTCTAATCTGTGGTTGGTTATGTCCCGATAGATTTCCTGGTATAATATTATTGTTTGCTGTTCTCTATCTTAGACTAGGCAAGTTGAAGTCACCTAGGAAGATAATATCAGGTATCAGATTCTCCAAATTATCAAGATTGATAAAGATTAAGCCACCCAAGAGGTGGCACGGGCACGAATAGCCCGTAAAATTTATCAAGGCTGTTCACTATTTTGTTTATCTGTTCTGCGAATTCGTCGGCTGTTGCATCTGGCGGTTTGTATATCAACCCATCCTCCGAATTGACAGTACGATTTAATACTAAGTGTAATAAGTACATTCCCTTACTGTCATACACAGTGCATAATTACACTTATGGGGCTGTTACATTTACCTCCCCATCTATTCTCTTCATTTTCTGTTAAGACACTCAGAATTTTAGGACAAAATTTTAAAGTTCAAATTGTCATACACAAGTTTTAAATATCAGTAATTTCTTTTTCAGTTTTATTAAACAATAGAGATTTTATACAAAATTGGAAAATATCCCGAGTTACTTTACAATTTATTGATATATTTTAGTTTTGTTTTATTTGTTTTATAAAACTATAATATCAATATAAATATAGGTTAAGTACTAATTGTAATTAAGAAGCAATAAAATTATCTTCAAAAACTAAGACGTGTAATTGAGTTCGTGGTTTTCTATTCAGTTTTTCAGGTAAACTCAAATATTCACAATATATTTGACAGTACGATTTAATACCAAGTGAAAATAAGTACAATTCCTGACTGCTGTGAATAGTACATAATTGCACTTATTTGTGCTCTTACATTTACCTCCCCATTTTTGGAGGACGGGCTGCCAACACAATGAATTATTATTATATTATTTTAAACAGTTGAATCATTACCTTCTTTTCCTTAAAGTCAAAGGTAAACTTGATTAGCTTTTATGACTGCTGCTCCTACCTGTTGTGCACCTTTTTGCGTGGTGGATTTTGACTTAAAGGTTCTTTTCTTGATCAATCTGCTGTAATGTAATGCTATTAATTTGGTAGTTGTGGCATGGGTTGCTATGCCCCTCATGAAGGTCTTGCATTTGCCAGTCTTCTGACCCCTTTTGTAGAGTTCACTTAAATCTCTTTGTTAAGGCCTCGGTAATCATTGTCACTTCCCACTGTACCATAAATCTTCAGTGTCATCTGTAAATTTGATATGGTTTGTAATATTTTCTTCTTTGAAAAAATCTGTAGGAGCCATCTGGAAGATTCGAATCTGCATACTGGGTAAGCAGAAGCCCTAAACCACTAGGCTACGATATGCGAAAAAAAAAAAAAAAAGTAACGCAACTTGGAATTCAGTTGAATTCTCTAGGAGTCCTGATGCTTCCACTGGAATGAAGTCGGGGTTTCACACATTACCTGCATATACTCTGGCTGTGGTACAGTATTACCTGAGGGCCACTACATCACAAAAGGCCTCGACAAGGACAAGATGTCGACAGCAAATTAAAGGTACCCCTTTGTCCTGATAATTTTGTTGTGCGGGATTTTTGAATTTGGCAGTTTTAGCATGTATGGCTTCAGTGTGTAGGCAGTTCCATGGGTTTATCAGCTTATGGGTGGTAAACCCTGCCTATCCTCTTTACACATTACATTGCTTTTCCCTCACATGCACAATCAGGCTAAACAAGGATGTAATTGAAAATGGAATCAGCTCGCAAAAGTGACGTACTGTCCTGTTTTGGGTTCTCTGGCTTAGTCTGTTGAGTTAGGAGAGTAAACTTTCAATTAAGGGTTTTCATGACATTTTGAGACCTTAGGAGAACTTCATGCTCTCCTAACCTACAAAAGGACCCATAATTTGCAGTTCTAGAAAAAAAATCCAGAATTTATTTACAAATTATAGCCTTTTTTGGCCTTAGCGCATACAAACGAAAAATGACAATTTGTAAGACGACAGGGTAGATAAACCATCTGTTGTTTTGTGTCATGCATTGTGGCTTCTTGAGCTTGAAACCAATGTTCCTTCTGTGTGTAACATGGCCTTCTGAAGAAGCTGTCCGGGTCAATATCCTCCAAATTGTTCAGTATTTTAACCCTTACAGTGGTTATCGTCAGTTGTCGATTCACAAGGTAATGTGGTTATCATATTAAGATAGTATTATCTGGGTTTTACATATATGGGGATGTTTTGCAATATGATTTAAAATATTACAATAAACAAATTCACTTAAGTGTAAGATACGACACATTCTGCATTGCTTGGAATCTTGTGGGCGGCCTCCTTTCTGGCTCTCCGTGAAGCACTGTTGGTTATCAGTTTGTTTATATTAATGGTTCTTGAGTATCATTTGTCAGTTAATAGTTTTTGTTTACTGGCCCTGGCTAATACTTAGCCCACTAAATTGTCCTTATGAGACTTATAAGCTGTCCCGCATCACACGGCTATTTCCTTAATTACTGATTGGCACTTCCAGCTCCACTGGCATCCTTTTTTTATCAACATTTGAATTCCTTTAAAACCTCCTACTTTCACTCAAAGCACCAGTGTCGTTAGATTGTTGCTCTAGCATAGCTAGCACTTCATGTCTGCCACCTTGCACTATTTCTTGGTTTTATCCCCTAGTAAATGGAGATTTGGAAAGGTGTGTGCTGGGGAAAGGGGAGGGTGTGTGACTGGGTAGAAGGGACAAGGTGTATGCTGGTTATTGAAAGGGGTGTATGGGGGAGATGAAGAGGGTGTGAGGATGTTAACAGTGACAAGAATGGTGTGTATTTAAAGTAGTAAAAAGTGATGGGAGGGGGGAATCTGGATACCCTATAAAGATTCCTACCTACCTCGTGAAGCTTCTGGGGATCAACAGCCCCGTTGCCTGGTCACCAACCAGGCTGCGTGACACTGCTGCTCAGGTATTCTTTGGAGGTTTTTGTAGAGTTCCCTCTTGAATGCAGAAGCCAGCCAGTTCCTACCCATTTATTTATTCTGCAATCTGACTATTGGGCAACAATGTTTCTGGTATTGCACATAAATATCTTCAATGTACCTTATGCCCACTCGAAATGTTGCATTGGTGAAATAATCACGCAAAATGCAATAGCTGCCTATGGCAGCTTTTGCCGACATGCACCTTTTGATGCTGTAAAAGCAGCTGTATTCTGTTTAAACCAAGACCAGTACAGTCCAGTACTACATTTCTGTAATCAAGTATGCTGTAAAGTCTTCACCAGTTCTTATTTTAATACAATATTGCTTCACTTTCACTTGTGGGCATTTGGTCAAATTCCATAGTTAATATATTTATAATAAAGTTCATCATTAGTACCTAATTTTCTTTAATAATATTCCCCAAAATAATTGATGAGGTTAAGTTTTTATACACATTACATTTTGAATATTAATTTTCAGACGTAATACGCTGTGGGTACTAGAGCAACTCCCTGGTCTCATTGTTAGAGACGACCAATCTCACATCCTGCGGAAGCAATCATACTGGCCCAGCTACAATGTTCCTTTCTACCCAACCATTTTCAATCTTAGTGGTGGCCCAGCTATGGTAGAACAGTATGGAGACTGGTTTACATACGATGAAACCCCAAGAGCTCTAATCTTCAAACGAGATCATACTTCTGTTAAAAATATTCGTACAATGATAAGTCTAATGCGGTATAATAATTATAAGCATGATCCTCTAGCACATTGCAATTGCACACCACCATACAGTGCAGAAAATGCAATTTCTGCAAGGAATGATCTGAATCCCAAGAATGGGACTTACCCATTTGGTGCGCTTGGCCATCGATCTCATGGAGGTACAGATATGAAAATGACAACTGCAAAATTGGCTCTAGATCTCCAATTTCTTGCAGTTAATGGACCTACATATGACCAGCAACCAATTTTTCGTTGGAGCAACCAGGACTTTGCAAATAATACTCCACACTATGGCCATCCAGATGCTTGGAAGTTTCCAGTGATTTGTCACAAGTGGCTATGGTAAGATTAATTCATGCATTAAAAACCTTTTTAAATTTAAAAAGGTTAAGTGTACTTTTAATTTAATTTTGCAAGAAAATGTCCGATCAGTTATATAGTACTGTATTAGTACAGTACTAGGATAGGCATGTGGAAAATACTATTATTCATTTGACAGACATTGTAAACATTGACATTATATACAATGCTATTTAACTTGTTATATAACACTGCTTCCTGTTAATAAATTTTCTATACATTCTAAAAAAACATAAAACTGTATTATGTTACTTATTTGTACCAATATTAATTTAACGAAGTTGCATAGGATATTGCTTCACAACCATTTGTTTAAACCATGTATTTTGTAATAAACTTTTTTATAGCCAGCCCACTATAATTTGTAACAACCTACAAATTATAATAATCTGTGTGTGCATTGGGACAAAAGCATGTGATTAGGATGAATAAAAATTTAAATGGCTATATATACTTTATATATAAAAAAGCTCCAGCTTAAGAAAAAGGTTTAGCTTGACACGAGTGGGCTGCTGAAATTAGATACAAGCTATTCCTTTTGCTCCGGAACTAAAGCAAATTAGCAGGAATATTTTCTCCCCTGACTCGTTTTAATAAGGCAGCCAAAGTAAAGTGAAATATTAATTGAAGTGCAAAACAACATATATTAGTTTATCAACATGACTAATCATCATCAGGATCTTGTGGCCCCATTCCCCTTGGTTTTGGTCCACCAGCTCGCTTGGCCATAATAATTTGGTCTACACGAAGAATTTGGTTAGCAGCCGAAGTAGAATACTTTAAAGCCCAAAATTTAGTAAGGAATAGATCATAAATTTCCTTCTCTGCTGCATCAATAACATTAGATCCATCTCCCTCACAATCAAAGCCAGCATTTGTTTTGCCTTCGGTGTGGGCTGCTAGCAGGTTGGAGAGTGTTTCTTGATCTGATGCACCACAGTTATCAGCAAGAACCTTTGGAGAGAAAAAATAAAATTCACTATTAATATATTTGTAGTTTTAGCACTTCACAAAAGTCTTAATTGTACAGAACATTGTTTCGACCAGTGATTGGAAAATACAAAGCCTAATGTACATAAGATGCATTGAGCTTTAAGGATAATTATTAACCACTGCACTGCGCGCCTGGTTTCGGCAAAAATATTTTTAGCGCAATTGTCAAGGACATATTTTTGTTTTTATAAATATTAAGGAAAGTTAATGTCAAAATGTTTCCAAACTCGACTATTTCCATTTCAAAACCCAGAGTAATGAAAACATTAAAAACATTGAAATATAGCCTAATTAACCCTTAAATGGCGCATAGCTATATACCATTTGACACCCACAGGCGCATACCCCCCCCCCCAAAAAAAAAAAAAAATTTTCTTCCTAACCTGTTAATTTGTGTTCACTGATCATGGGAAAAATAATAAAAAAATCGTAAGTGGCATATATTGCCCACTATAGGGCGGGGAAGTGTGACAAAAATCAGGCGCTGACTGAGCGTGCGTCCCAGGCGGTCTGTTGATCGCCAGCTGTCAGGCCAGAGTTTCCACAAAGAGATAATTACCTAATTATTTCAATGTCTGATTTTTCGTAGTTTTTTTTGCTGTAATATTATTCAATAGTGTGTAGTGTGATATATTTATATAATAAAATGAGTGAATCATCGCTGTACTCAAAAATATGGTGTGCATATTGTTGATTCAATTATGTTCATCAAACAGTGAACAAATACTTTGCCGGTTATTACACTATATACACAGGTTATATATAAGTATCTGCATGTTTTGTTCACCATGACACACCACTAAGTTGGTATGCTGAGTGGCAGTGGCAGGCAGTGACTGGCTGCCACTCCCTCCCTCACCTCACCTGCCACCATTCTCCACCCACCATACTGTTTTTGCTTTTATATACAGACGTTATATATAAGTATTTACATGTTTTGTTCACCATAACTGTACATCTAAGCTTGTATGGTGAGTAAAGGCAGAGAGACGTAGCTACTCACACAGTCAGCTGGTGGCGGCTGCCCTCAAGGCCAGACGCACTAATACTGTTTGTGGTGTTATTACGCTATATACACACATTATATATAAACATCTACCTGTTTTATTCACCATACTTATACAAGTAAACTGGTATGGTGCCCAAAGACCATCGTGGTCATCAGTGAACAACATGATAAGTCCTGCAGACGACGCTCCTCCCTCACCAAAATGGCGGCTCCGGCTCCCAACCTCCTACTCTCGCTATTATCTCACACTATACACACGTTATATATAAGTATCTACATTTGTGTTCACCATAGCGAACCACTAAGCTGGTATGGTGAGTGCAGTCAATAAAAGGTGGCCATACACTCAAAAGACAACGCCACCATCCTCCCTCCCACAGCATTACTCCTCCCTCCATGGCGCACAGCGCCAAATATCACCACAATCCAGAACAAGTATATTATGGCATTTTTAGGCGATGCTGTGGTCACAAGCTGAACAGCAGTGCTGTGAGCTCATGCTGCGTGCGCCAGGCTTGGTAGCTGACTCAATACTGAGGCCCCTAACACCCTGGAGTTTGGCCCACGATTTAAAAAAAAAAATGCCGTCTGTTTACAAGAGCCCTGATGAAGGTGTGGTGAACCCCGTGTATCCGCGGGCCGGTTAAATCTTGCGTAGTACTCCAAAGCATCACATGATGCGATGCGCAATTTACTGCAAGTCGGTCAAAGCATCATATGATGCGATGCGCAATTGAAGGGTTAAAAAAAATAGCCCCACTCTCAGAGCGCCTAAAGGCACTTTCCACAGTGCAGTGCTCAAAACATCCATCTAGGTCTTAATAAATGCACATTTTATGTTGATATTTTTTTTAAGTATGTTTTCTTAAGACCTTAGTATTGCTATTATTAGTATTATGTTGTATATATTAGTATATAGTATTATTACCAGCACCCAGTATCAATGGAAAACAAAAAAATTCTTACCTAGAAAATGTGCAGTTTATTTCAATCTACACATGTAAGTGATTATGATGACATTTCTGAAAATATTGAAAGACAGGAAGCCATGTCCGTAGATGCTGTTAAGATAATTTTTTTTTTAAGTAATGAAACGCATTCAATGTCTTTCTGGATAAGTCCCAGTGGCTCCCTGAAGCTATCTTTGTGATAATGCTCCCAACTACTAAGTCAAGTCAGCCATAGATTTCAGTTTGGCCTATTGGGTACCAGAGCCAGAACCTGGCCTCAGGGAGGAACAGAGCATGTGACACACCAACAAACCACCGGAAAAGCATCCAGAAAGTCACTGCAGCAACACCTGTCCAAGCTAAGCTTGTCCAGTCGGCGGTCAAACTTAAAGATGCGTTCATCAATTTTAGCGCAGGGGTTTATTTTAGGTCTAGCCTAAGATTAAAACCATTACACAGTAAATAGGGCATCCATATGATGACCCTACATATGAACAGCCACATTTAAAACAATTTGTGGACTCCCACATGTTGGTGGGTAGGCCAAAGCAACCATGAGCAAAGCACATGCCACAGCCTCGGTCACCAATGAAGAGATCAACAAGAAAATGCTAGAATCCAACGTTGATAGTGATGAAGATGATACTGATAAAGACTGTACACAACAATCAGGTACAAGTGATTCAGGCAGTGACATTGAAGAACGAGTGAGGCCTACATAACCACTGCTGCAGTCCCAGCATCTATTACAGCAACTGTGCCTCCTACTATTCCTTTACTACCATGGACATTCATGACGACCTATTTTCTGGAGTTAGTGACCAGGATTCTAATACTAGGAACTGTGCTCTGGCTAGTGGTAGGAGTTTGGAGCATTACTAGGGGATGGTATGTTGTGTCAGCACTTAAGCCTGCAAACAATACTATGTAATGTCTCTTAGGGAAACTGAAGGGAAATTGGCCTTAAGTTCAATTTAAAGTTCCCACCTTGTGCATATTATAAGATTTACATCTCCCAGCTAATGCATTGGTGTTGAGGCTGGATTCATGCCAGTGGTGTAGATGGCATTTCAAGTAGCATGCCAAGCAAATTATGGGATTTGCTTTACAATACATCCTATTTTACTGCCAACACATTATACTAAAATGATGGATGTAGCACGAAAAATAAGATCAGAAAACTAGAAAGAGTATACACATTTAGTGTGGCGGTGCTGGTCGATGACGTAACCACCGTTATCAATATATAAAAATTTACCAAAAAAATATTTACAGTACACTTAGTGTGGGATTTTTTTTTTAATTAATGTGTGCTATTCTACTGTCAATAATTTGATACTAAAACGAATGACGTAGCACGAAAAATAAGGTTAGAAAACTGGAAAGAATACAAACATTGACGTGTGACAGAGCGCTCACGGGCAACACCCGGCCGACTTGGGCCAGAACCTGGGCAGCTTAAGTGTTAATCAGTGAGCCCCATTGGGGTTCCCCTCAGAAAATGAGAGATTATATTGACATTTTAGGAAAATTATCATTCCCAGCAACTCTCGTTGCCTGAATGGCCCACATAAAATGCCCGGGGCATTTGCTGCACAAGTACTCATAAATATGTGATGGCATCATCACATTCTTTGCTTCACTACAGCCAAAATAATGCAATAATGAAATTATATTTGAATTCTCATGGTCAGGTCAGGGAATCCATTTTAACAATATTAGAATAAAATTTTTTTTAACTATTATTCTTATGTATCATGGGGGTTGTCATATGTAACAAGTACGCAGTGCAGGGGTTAATACGAAGAGCATCAAGGTCAGAGTAGTCATGCGGAAGGTTGGACAATAAACTTGTTCAAACCCAAAGAATCGAGGATTAACCCAAGACTTGCAGGCATTTCAACCATGCTAGAGGGCCAACCCATCCACAATGACCTGATGGAAGAGCAAGAAAGAGACCTAATCCAAAATCCCCAATCCCTGGATGGAGAAGGAACATATCACCTCCACCACAGGAAATGACTTGAAAGGCCCACAAATCATGAGACCATGAGCTAGCAAACTGGGCTAGACGATCCCTCGACCGTCAAAGGTAGCGAGTTGTAAAAGAGCCAGCATGAACCATGAGCAGTGGCACCTTTCTGTGATGCACAAGAACCTCTGAGTACAGAGCCCCAGTACAAAAAAACGAGAAACCAGATGACGTGACCAAAAGGAAAACAAAAACCAAGAAAATACATCCTCAGGAAAGAGGCAAAAAGGGAGGAGGCAGACAAAAATGCAAAGGACCAAGCTGAATCAAGAGACTTGGCCAGCATGGACTACCTACACACAAGACCAGCTGTCACCACCTCCCGAAGGATGGGTGCATACAACTTGGGTAATGCCGCAAAACCTAAGCTACAGGCAATAATGCCTCCCACACTTGACACTGAGCCAACTGAATCAATGTTCTCATGTATCTAATTAGACAAAAAACTAAGAGGGCCAGAAAATGCATGACTGTTGCCAGGTGTGACTTATAACTCATCTAAAGAAAAGTCTCCAGAAAGCAAACGAAACCATGCATGAAGTTCCTACATCCCTGGAAAGAGCCAGACGTTTCGGAGCCAGAAGCAGGGGAAGGGAACAGAAACTAGGCGCACCACACTAGAAAGGGAAGGAAGAGAAGGCAGACAAAACCAAAGTGGAATTCACCAACACCAACTCTGGGGCACCCAAACAGGAACAAAACAGGAAATGCTGAATATAAGCAAAACGAACCCACGAAGTGGCAGCTGCCCGATGGGCTTCAACCTAAGAAACTGCATTAGAAAGATATGTTGAATGCAGAAAAACACCACAGGACTATGTTGCTGGGTGTCACCGACCCAACAGACATCATGACAGGCAGAAAAGATCATTACTATGTGGCACAGATGACAAATACACCTCAAAGGGAAAGTGCAGGCTTGGCAGGGCAATCCATGGTAACCACACTGAAACACTGCAGGGGATTACCAGGTCCTGAAAGAATGACCAAACAAGACACCCAGGCACTGGGAATGCTCTGGAAGAAAAGTATGCAAGAACAGCCTAGTCAATGCGGTTGTGAACGCTTGCTTTGGTTTGCTGTGTAAAAGGAGCGTGCATCCCCAGTGCACCCAACCAACTGAACTGTTCACCACAGGTCTAGATAGTCAAATGACACTTGAAATATCCAACCACCCAAGTGGTCAGGCTTCAAAAGAGCAAACTCTGAAACACCCCAGAGAAGTAATGTCAGTGGAGGGACAGCACCAAGGAAGCACCCGGGTAAGTAACCCTAAACACATACTCGAGGTGCAAGCAAGCCCAAACAGCCCCCAGAGAAGTAATGTCAGTGCAGGGACAGCACCAAGGAAGCACCCGGGTAAGTAACCCTAAACACATACTCGAGGTGCAAGCAAGCCCAAACAGCAAGCCAGTAAAAAAAAATGCTCACAAAGGTAATACAATTTAAACAAACAAGCAATGGCTTCATATGGCCCCATATGACTAAGTCATAGGATGGCTGGAACTTAGCTTAGAATTGGTTACAGCAGGACCCACATGATTGGTTGGTGACCCAGGAGCACTACAGTGGACAACCAAAGATGTCCACATAAGCAACAGTCCTGGCTTGGGAGGGTTGGGGGAGACTCTGGGGTCCCAAACTGGAGGGGCATTTATTTGGTTCCAAAAAGTTTAAGGTAGTTTCGAGTGTTGATTATTTATTTACATAGTTTTGAGGCTTTGGTTCTTTTTAATCTAGCAGTGGTTTGTATAGGTATGTTGACTGGATGCTTCCTCAGTGGGGTAGGCAGAATGTCACCAAGTTTTGTGCCTCCGTTAGGAGGCTCTTGGCCCCAGTAGACCAAATAACTCCACGACTGACTCCTAGTAACTAGGAGCAACCTCGATGAGAACTTCAGGGAGCCAAAAGGAGCTCCTCTAGAAATGACATAAAATGTCAAGAGATGTAAAAATGCATCAGGTGTGGAAAAGCTACACCTCACTATCAACATTGATAAGTAAGCACCCTTTAAATAACCCAAGTAGAGATCAAGCTCCTGAGCAGGTACTTATGGAACAATTACAGTGATTACAAAAAATAATAATTATAGAGCTTACCTTTGGGAAAACTCGAAGGGCTTCAGCAAACTTCTTAATAGCATACTGTTCTAGGCCTGGACACTGCAACCCGTACTGTTCTACAAGACGGCTCAACTCTGCTTCTGTGCTACCAGCTCCTGCTACAAACCTCCCATCCTAGAATCATTACAAATACTTTTACACTACAATTTATAACATATTTTGGGTGTCCAATTCTGCTTTTCTGTAATTACACAGAATTATCAAAAGAAGGCATTAAGCAAGTGAGACTATGTAGCTATTTATGCAGAATTTGGCCCAAACTGCAATGCATCATCCTGTTAGAGTAATAAATACAATGACAATAACGATACGCATAAAGTATTAACTTCAAAATTATAATTCATAATTGGCACGAGGAAAACTTACACGTCCAAGTTTAGGTTTTATTTGGTATCCTTGCTTCATACTTGCTATTACTTCATACAAAATACTAAGAGTATAAAATGTGGACAGGTATAATCTTTTCCAAATGAGAAATTAGTATATAAGACAATGTAAGACAAAGGTGAAAGTTAGATGCAAGAATTTTTGTGTGGGTTATGAACAAGTGGAATGCATTGAAAGTAGTTGTGAACGTTACTGCTATCCACACCTCTGAAAACAAATACAAATTTACAACTGCATCAGGTACAAATAGTGTGACAGTCCAAAGAGCTGGAACCTCCCATACAACGGTGAATTGAGTGTAAGCAGTACTGCTAACAATAACTGAGGGAAAGAAAAGATTAACAGTAAAAAAGAAAATGAACTTCCTTAGAAATTAACTTATTCTTGAGTTTGCAAAATGCCCGTTAGTGTAGAAAAAATTAATCTAAAAAAAAAATCCACTTTTCCTTCTCACTACTACACTGTGCATTATCTTACCCGACAAAGTCCTTTGAATGTGTTGACGGCATCATCTACGGCTCGTTCTATATCATCCATATAGTTATCAGTAGACCCACGAATGACTATTGTTGCAATTCGAGATTCGGCACCATCTTGCCTATTTGGGGAAAGAATAAGTATTTACAACGGTCACCATGATTCATACTATCAAGAACAAGCATGACAATTGTAACTGTAACTGTACTGTACTGGAAAGCCAAGATGTATAATGCACTACGTTCGAGAGCTAGATCTCTTTCCCATAAATAAAAATTTTATTCTGACAACTCTACACTACACAATACATATATATTAGCCTAAGGCAATGAATAACCACTATAATTTAAGTACATTCACACAGCATGGAGTCCCAGCATGGAGCCCGTACCTAGTCAAGCACAAGACGAAGCTGGAAAAAGTTCAGAGGTATGCCATTAGCCAGTCCCAGAACTAAGAGGCAAGAGTTATGAGGACAGGCTGCGTGAACTGCACCTTACGTCGCTGGAATACAGAAGAGCTAGGGGAAACATGATCACTGCATACAAAATTCTCAGGGGGAATTGACAGGGTAGACAAGGATGGATTATTTAACACGGGTGGTACATGCACAAGGGGACACAGGTGGAAGCAGAGTACCCAAATGAGGCAGACACACACATTAGAAAGAACTTTTTCAGTGTAAGAGTAGTTAATAAATGGAATGGAATGCACTAGGAAGTGATGTGGTGGAGGCTGACTACATACACAGTTTCAAATGTAGATATGATAGTCCTGTAGGCTCAGGAATCTGTACATCCATTGATTGACGGTTGAGAGGTGGGACTATAGAGCCAAAGCTCAACCCCTGCAAGCACAACTAAGTGAGTACAGATGCCAATTATTACATCTTGATGTAATGAGCATACCAGTTCATGAGGAGGATGACCTAGAGGTACCCAATTCTTCTAAAGATACACTTGTGGTTGTATTCAAAGTTTCAAGCCTAGCATGGTGGGAATGTAACCACAAATCACCCAGGTAGCTATGCAAAATATCTGATCAATAAATACTATTGTAGTGCACATCACTTAACAGTTTTATAGTAACAATTGAATGTTATTTATATATATATATATATGATGTGTTAAATCATTTTAACATATATTATTACAATATATATATATATATATATATATATATATATATATATATATATATATATAATATCGTACCTAGTAGCCAGAACGCACTTCTGCTTACTATGCAAGGCCCGATTTGCCTAATAAGCCAAGTTTTCATGAATTGTTTTTCGACAACCTAACCTAACCTAACCTAACTTTTTCGGCTACCTAACTTAACCTAACTTATAAAGATAGGTTAGGTAGGGTTGGTTAGGTTCGGTCGTATATCTACGTTAATTTTAACTCTAATAAAAAAAAATTGACCTCATACATAATGAAATGGGTAGCTTTATCATTTCATAAGAAAAAAATTAGAGAAAATATATTAATTCAGGAAAACTTGGCTTATTAGGCAAATCAGGCCTTGCATAGTAGGCTGAGAAGTGAGTTCTGGCTACTAGGTACGACATATATATATATATATATATATATATA